ATTTCAAAGCACTGAGGGACCCCCAAATACCTGCAAACCTTCCCTTTTAGAGCACCTTGAAGATGATGAAGTAACTCACTTCCCATCCCTGTGTTCCCTTCCACGCCCAAGACCTCTTATTTCTCAGACCCAATAAAGCCTTTTTCCTCTGTTTTGGTTTTTTTTTTGGTGTTTCATTTCAGGAAGAAGCAGAATCGCCCAGTTACACGAGAACTTCACTCCCCAGCGAGGAGCAGGGCTGGAATTTTTTGTCAGAAGGGCTCATCATCCCCCTGACTCAAGGCAGCTCAGAGGTGGTTTCAGGTGCTTATGAAAGTTCAGCCCTAAAGCTGCGCACCAGAGAGGTCTGGTTGTTGCACAACGTTGCCAAACGAGTTCCCGCTGCCTTACACAGCCCTTCTCCTACCAAACACACAGTTCCCCTCCTGAAGTTCCCACATCCTGAGTAAAATTCCTGATGGAACGCTTGGAAACCTCACTGGTTCCCCTCAGCTGACCCACCTGAACCGGTCATGGGGCAGGGACCATTGATGTGGCAGCTGGAATTTCATCTCCGGGCCTGTTGTTTGTGCAAACAAAACCCCAGGTCTGAAATAGCAGAGGTGAGAAGCCAGACTGCAGCTCGCTCAGCTCCCTTAGCAAGGAGCTGTGAAGCTGTAAATGAGGGGAATTCAGAGCAATTCACACGAAAAGAACCGACGACGTTTCCAAAAGCGACCACGGATCCGTGGATGTCGAAGCACGGATCTGATTCCCCCCCTTTCCCCACTCCCACCACGTACTTTCTGCGCCAAAAAAAGGCTTTATCTGGGTGGATTTTCGAGGGAAGCAGGGAAGGATAAGCCTTTTCTGTACCACTGCCCAGTTCCTGGATCAAACACAGAATGTCACGACTGACCAGACACCGTCACCCCCCCACCGTGTCCTCTCCCACAGGGAATTCATCCCATCAGCCAGAAACCTCCCCCTCTTTGGGGGCAAACCCTCAGCAAGCAAAGTGTTTTACCTGCACAGGCAGTGGAGAGCAGCTCCTAGGAAAGGTGCATCCCTGCAAACCACCTGTCCCCAGTCCATGCTAAGGGCAAACCCCCAGCCTGGGGTTGGGGTCACCGAGCCCTGCGGGGCGAGCGACGGACAAAAACCACTCTCCAAGCAGCCTCATTCCTGCATGGAGATGTTCTTCCCTGCTCCAGCCTCCCTGGGAGTGCTCTTGTGCCTCCTTAGAAAGCTGATTATGAAGGAGCAAGTCAAGCCCAGCCAGATGTTTTAATTGAGCTCGTTTGTTCATTAACCCCTCAGTCCCCAGGGCAGCTCCCCCGGGCAGAGCATCAGGTGTGAGCTCCTGCCTGCCCTGCGGCACAGGGATGGGACAGACCCACACCTTGGCAAGGAAACCTCGTGTTTTGTGCTCATTGATGGCTCCAGAAGAGCTTGAATCACCTCCCGGGGCACGTGTGATCCAAAACAGGGCTCCTTCCTTTTTCCTCCCAGCTTCAGGCCCAAGAAGTGCTGAGGGGACACCTGAGGGTCAAAACCTTGCCCACAGAGCTGCAAACCTTCCCTGTTCTGTATCCCATTAGCAGCTCCCACCTTTTGTCACTCAGGGCCAGGATCTGGCCCTGCTGGTGGCACTGGATGAACTCTCAAATGACCCTCTTTGCCTGTTCAATCCCGTTCCCACAAAGTGATTTTTTTCCCTGTTCTTCCCAAAAATCCTCAAATTCTAGTTTCCTCCCCGCCTCAAGCCAAATTCTGCTGCTGAACCAGTGTGAGAAACAGCAGCTCCTCCAAGAATTACATTTGCCCCCAATGAAACTGAACTCTGGAAGGCAGAATCATTAATAAAAATCCAGTTCTGATTTTAATAAGGAGGGGAAAAAAAAAAAAAAAAAGAGGAAAACGAAACCCCTAATGCCGTGATCCATCTTAGAGCCATATTTCCAAAGGGGCTTTAAAGCAGGCTGTGGATTTGCACTGGCCCTTGGCTCATCCCCCAGGATGAGCAGCCAGCACGAGCTCCACGTGGGCAGCTCGGGATGTCACCGCTGTCACTCGTGCTGCCGAGGATGGAGGGCTCTGCACTGCGCTCCTGCTAAATCCAGAGCCCCAGCTGCAAATTTAGAAACGTTGCCTGAATTTCTCTCCGTGCTCTCCCACGTCCTGCCCTGCTACAACTCCCGTCTGCCTGCGTGGATTTCTTAAAAAGCACTGCTTAGCAACCTGACAGCCTTTTGGCTCCCAGCACAAGGCAACTGGTCCCTCCCATTCCCACTCCTCCAGCAGGGAATCCATGGCAGGCACATGGATTCACTTAGAGCACCATCTGAGGCAGAGCCAGGTTAAGGCCCTGGTGACACTTGTGTCACCCCTTGGCAGCCCCAGCGCTTTTCTGTCTGTGGGGAGCCAGAAGGATCCTCATCCCTCCTGCTGCCACAGGTCACATCTCACTTCCCCAGTGAGCGTTTCTGTGGAGCAACATCCTTACTGGAGCAAAGGATGGGTAATTACAGAGCCTCCAGTAAACCTTGTAAGCCATCCAAAGTCCCCAGAGGGAAGCAGGTGAGAGACTACAACACCCATTGCACAAGAGATACGGATCTAGGGTGGGTTATTTTATAAAAATCTCTCCTCTCCCTTTGTGGTTCTTCTAAAGAAAGGGCAAAACAAACGAGGCAGGCTGTTAAGTCCCCGCTGTTCCCAGCCCAGCAGTTCCATCCCAGGAGCAGAGTAGACCCTCTGGAGGACAGAGAAGGGCTTGGGATCGAGGATGAGACTCGGCCGTTCCTGCCCCACAGTTTGGAAAGGTGCAGCCTCACCGCTTGCCTTGGGCTGGGAGCGGAGGGAGGCAGGATGGGGCAGGTCCAGAGTGAGCAGGGAGTGCTGTGAGCGAGTCTGGAGCGAGGCAGAAGAGCAAAGGGGGACAGATAAAAAAGCACGAGGCGGGGCATGAGTCACGTTGGCACGTGGCCTCTGCAGAGAGCCCTCCAGCAAAGAGGGCATGAAGTGAATTCCTTGCCAGGCAAAAAGGCTCTGGAACAAAAGGCAGCCCAAAATAGGCTCTGGAATACCTGTGTGCTCCCAGCTCATCCCCGGAGGGGCAGCAGCACACACACACACCTGGGACCTGTTCCTTGCTGGCATCTGGCCATGCTTGACCAGGCCAGGAGCAGCCACAGCAGCCCCAGATCTCCAGCTAATCCTTGGGAAAGCCGCCTTCCCTGCCCAGAGGGGAGAGCTCTCCCCAGACAGCCAAGATGAGGGTTGCAGGTCTCACGTCCTGGCACTCACAGGGAAGCCTCGCTGCAGGCAGCGGCTTTCCATGCAGCCTATCCACACCTTCCCACTCAGGAGCTGAGGAGGAAGGAGTTTTAAGCCAGGATCAAGAAACCAGCCCTCCCAGACCTTTGGGGAAGGCTTTGGATGTGCAGGTGAGCAGCGTGGCTCCAGCTCTTCGTGCCCTAAGCCCTGCCGTGCCGCCCGGGGATGGGGAATGCCGGCGATGCGGGTGTTCTCCCAGAAAACACCCCAGCCCTCTGGAATCACAACAGCAGCTCCATTAGCTGGGGCTCTTCCTGCAGCCACAGCCAGTTCCCCACTTGGCTGAGGCTGGAGCCTGGCCAGGAGCCGTCCTTCAGCTTGTTTCCACAAAGAGGGATCCAAACCCTGGCTTTAGTTACGTTCCTCCTCTGTGGAAACAGCATTTCTGCATGCTAGGGGTTAGACTTGAGGGAAAATTTTCCTGTTTCTGGGGGCCAGAAGTGTGGGGGAAGAGGACCTTTCTCTTTAGTGCTTGTAGAGCATCAGGTCCTGGCCTGAATTGTGGCCCCTGGAATGACAAATAGCAGGAGAAACAAGGTCATCAGGGAGACCCCCAGAGAACCTCAGTGGTGGAAAGTGCCCTCCCCCATCCATCTCCACTGCATCAGCATCTCCTTCAGGGGCAGCATGAGCATCCCTAAATATTCCAGATTAAGAACAAAACAAGGACTTGCAGCTCCCTTGCTCCTTCTTTCACTGCTGTGACTTCAGCAAAGCTGGAAGAGCTGCAGGGAGGAGCAGGCACCAACATCCACATCTCCAGCCACACGACACAGTCCCCGGGGTGGATTCCTTCCCCAGCCTGTGTGTCTCACACAGAAGTCTGGTGTCTCACCCAGAGGTGCATCTACCACCCCTTGGAGAAGGACACCATATCCATCCCCACCTCTCCAGCTTCTCCCTTCCCCAGAGTCACCACCAAAAAAACAGCTGTAGGGACCAGAGAACAACCTCTCTGCTGTGCAAACCCGCCCTCCACAGGGCAGGGAACAGAGATCAGCTCATTTCCCAGTCCTTGCTTTGGGCACAACTCCACACTCCTCCCTAAAGCAGCTCAAGGGCAGCGTGAGACAAGCACGTGAAGGCCTGAGCTGGGAGAACATGGGGGTATCAGCAGCAGGGCACGGGCACAGCCGAGTTAGAGCCTGCAGGGCACTAAATATCAGCTCGAGACGTGCTGGCAAAGCCACGTGGAAAGGGCACCCTGCCTGCCTCGAACTCCTGACGCTTATTCTGTGTTTGTACAAGCACAGAATTCCCTCCCAGATGTTTGCAGAAGCTCAGGAACTTGGCACAGGGGCGAGGAGTTGGCCTTTAATTAACCAGAAGTCAAATACAAGACGGACGTCAGAGCCCTGCAGCTGCTCTGACCCCCTGATAGGGGCTCTCAGCTCTTCTGGGGTCTCACAAATCCCTGTCTCTCCTTGACACTCTCCTTTCATGTTAAAAAGGACTCTTCTGGTGCTGCTTTCCTGAACCCTTTGAGGGCACACATCTCCTTTCACCCCCTGCCACGGGCAGGGACACCTCCCACTATCTTGGCCCCATCCAAGCCCCATCCAGCCTGTTCTTGAACACTTCCAGGGATGGCACATCCAAAGCTCCCCTGGGCTGGACATACCCTGCTCTGTCTCTCAAGGTGTGCAAATCCTGCCGACCTCAACCCAACCCCACTCCCCTACACACACACACACACTCTCACCCCAGCTGAACTCCAGTTTCCTCCACATGTATTTCAGAGAACAAAAGTACCCGAAACAGGCCATGAACACTGTCATCCTTGAACAGAGGGGTAGCACAGCCTCTCCCATGATTTGGCAAAGAGTCATTTCCCCCTCTTCGCTGGTGGTTTCTGCACTGCTTGCTCGGCTCTGGGGGCTCCCAGCCTCGTCCCGGCAGGGATGAGCAGCAGGAATCACCTCCTGCTGCCCCCCTGAGGTGTCCGTGGGCTGCAGGGCTGGCCCCGGTGGATCTTCAGGTGTTTGGCTAAATGGTCACTGCGGGCAAACTTCTTCTCACAGGCAGCACACTGGTAGGGCTTCACCCCGGAGTGGGAGCGCTTGTGACGGGAGAGCTCGTCCGACCGGGAGAACCTGCGGGAGGAGGGAACAGCGGTGGGTCCAGCCTTCCCTGCTGGCCAGGACAGGGAACACAGGGACCCTGGCACGGGGGAGGATGAGCTCTGTCTCTGCCACAGCCTCCTGGGTCACCCTAGACCGGTCACTCCTCTGCCCCATCCAACCCTCCAGGGAGGCAGAGTTCCCATGGGAGACTCCTCCAAGTTCGGAAATAGGGTTTGGAATCCTGTTTGGAAATAGGAAAGGGGAAAGTAATTCACCCACTGAGATCTTCATTTCTTTCTGCTGCTCTCTAGGGACACTGGCCACCTGCTTCCTTCATCTGTTTGAATTTGCTGAAGCCCAGGAGGTGAGAGCCTCGAGGCCAGACACTGTAAGAAAGTGATTTTGGGGGCATCCTCCCAGGCTAAAGGACACATTCCAGGATCCTGGGAGGGAAGGCTTTCCTGTAACACCCCATCCAGCCCAGAGTTGTTGAGAGAAGGTTTATTTTCTCTGAGGGTGTGGGTTCTCTCTGCAAACTCGGAGCATCCCCCTGTCTCTGCCAGTGGCAGCGAGTTTTCCCCGTCAGCCTGGGCTGGACTGGGAGCTGGGAAAAGGGAAACTGCCTGGGAGCTGAGTTAAATACAGAGAAAAAGGGAGGAAAAGCAAACACACCCAGCCTGGAGCACAGGGCAGAGGTTCCCATGCCAAAGCCACTGCAGGAACAAGGACCACAGGAATACCCAGTGCCCACACTGCTGGTCTGTGTAACTCCCACACCTGGAGCAGATCAGCTGAACAGCCTGGGAAGTCCCTTTAACCACAAGTGTGTCCCCCCTCAATTCCCCTGCATCTTCCTCCCACCTGGCACACGCAGGTCCAGACCTGGGGGCACGGGCAGCAGGTTGGTCACAGGTATTTTGAGAGCCACCTCCACGGTCTCACAAGGCCTGGAGTGGCTCCAGCGTGGCTTTGCCTGTCAGGGGAGTGCTGGAGAGCAGGACCAGGCTGGATTTACTCCTGCTCTGCCTGTGAGGAGCCAGCACAGATGGCAGGAGCATTAGGACAGGAGGGTTTTTCCATCTGCCTGAAACGTGCCCACGCAAAAAAGCACAAAGCAAAGAGCTTCAGCTGCAACCCCAGACTCCAGTGAGAGGATTTCAGGCTCACACCTGGGCTGGGAAATACTGTGGCTGCTCACAGAAACCTCTGTGGAAACAGGACGTGTCCCAAGGCCATCCTCAGGTCCTGGCTGGGGCTGGAAAAGGAGCTGATGCCAATAAACCTGCACTGTGGGTAGAGTTGAAAGGGAGGGGCAGTTTCTGAGGGCAAAGGGGCAGCAGGAGGGAGTCCCAAAATTCAGATTATTCTCACACCTTCCAGGGTTTCAGCACCCCCAAGACAGACACCATAAAACCATCCAGAGGAACGAGGCAGAGAGTGAAAGCCAGAACATTGTGTAAGAAACCAGGAAAGCTCAGCTGCCAACACCAGCTCTGTGTGTGATATCCCTGCAGATCTGCTGATGGAAAGACCTGAGGACTGTCAGCCCTCCCTGCCAAAGGCTGCAGGAGCATCCTGCCCCTCGGGACAGGCACACAGCACCAGGAAGAGAACACCTCAGCAGAGCAGTAATCAGAGAAGTGCAGCCAGATTAAACAGCAAGGTTAATTTAGGGAGCAGGGCTAATTTAGGGAACACAGATCAAAGGAAACAACAACGACCATCACGTGCAGGGCAAACAAAAGCAAATGCAACGTGGAGATACGGCCCAGGGTGTGTGAGGGATACGGGCAGTCAGGGCAGCAAACAGCCAGAGAAAGCAAAAGGTTGCAAAACAGACACAGAATTGCACACTGGCTGCTGAGGAAGGACTGAGACTCCTGTTTCCTTGCACAAATATTAAGGGGAGAGGGCGTTTTTGGAGCCCCACTGCAGAAATTGTCCTGAGCTAGACACAGAAAGCTTCCAGAATGAACACATCACCTGGAAAAGGGGTATTGCCACAGGGGGGGTTTAGGCACCCAGTTTAAGGAGGATTTGGGGTGCTGGGGAGAACATCAGCTACATGCCTCCAGCTGGAGATTTTCAGCACTTTTGGACTGAGTGAAAACCACCCAAAACACTCCAAAAGCTTCACTTCTCCACGTGCCCTTCCAGCTCTCACCTATAATTCACTCGGGAAAGGGAACGGGTGATTCTGTGCTGGATTTTCACCAGCCAGGAGCTCTCCTGCCACCTCACCAAGCCCTGGCAGGCCCTTTTCCAGGGACCCCCAGCCCCAGAGAGCCCCCCACTCACCTCCAGCCGCAGTTGGGCCAGGCACAGGTGTAGGGTTTCTCCCCGGTGTGCCGGCGGAAATGAGCCTTCAGGTGGGAGCTCTTGGAATACACCTTGTCACAGCCCGGGTGGGAGCACTTGTGGATCCTGGAGAGGGAAGGGGGGCCCTGCTGATGCCTGGGGGCTGCCTCCTCCTCCTGCCCGTCCCCTGGCACCCCAGGCCTCGTGGAGACCGGCAGGGGGGCGATCCTGACGTATTTTTGGTCGCCGGTGGTCACAGGGGGCTGGGGCTGAGGGAGGAGGGACAGGGTTGAGCCCTGCAGGCTGATGACCAGCTGGGCCACCCTGACACCAGCTGTGGCACCCTGTGGGTGGCTGTCCATCTGGAGAGGCTGGATTTGGAGGACAACAGGAATGCCCCCAGCGGGGACTGCCTGGTCACCGCCATCGGCCGTCCCTGCAGGCTGAGCAGAGCTCGGGACATCTCCTCGCACGCTGCAGACGGGCCGTTCCCCAGAGCCACCCGAGCTGACCCCAGGTTGGCTCTCCTCCCCTCCAGCTGGGTGAAGCTCAGGGCCTTCATCCCTGAGGAACTCTGCCTTCTCCCTCAGGAACTCCTCGATCTCCTCCAGGGTGGGGATGAAGTCCTGGGAGAGGCTGCTGCAGAAGTCGGGCAGCCTGAGCTGAGCCTCGCAGACGGTGAGCTGGGGTTTGGGGTGTCCCCCCTTGGACAGCGGGGAGCCTTCAGCAGGGCTAGTGCTGCCTGCCAGGAGGTGGCCAAAGCCCTCTGGGGGGCCAGATGTCCTCTCACTGCCATGCCCTGGCAGAAGGGATGGTGGCATCCTGCGCTGCAGGGCACTGGCCAAGCTCTCGAGCAGGGAAGGGCTGGTCAAGGAGGGCAGCAGCTCCTGGCAGCTCACAGAGACCATTTGTTGACTCACTGCTCCCCCCCACACACAGCTCAGAAGCCTCCGGAGGAGCTCAGCTGGGGAAGTCTTTGTTCATCTGCAAGGGAACACCACCAAGGTTATTTCCAAATTCAAAAGCAAACATGAAAACCTCAGCCTTTGAACAAAATGGACTGTGCATGAAAAAAAAGAAAACATCAGAACTAGTCAGGGGCCTTTGTTTTTAAAGAGTCTGTTGCTCAAAAAAAACACACACGCTAACCACTTTCCTCTCTAGAATGCCAACAGGCTGCAGAGAGCCAGATTTCCCCCCAGAAGCAAACTTCTCTGGGGAGTTTATGAAGGTGAAAACACACAATGAAACCCTTCATCCCTCTTCCACCTACGCCGGAGGGCAGCTGTGCCCTGCTGGGTGGTGGAGAGGATGACTTGGGGCTTACAACCAGGAGTTAATTGTGAGCCAGGAGAGGCTGCTGGCTTCTCCACGCTGCAAATGTGGTGCAACCACGCCCTGACACAGACCCAGCCTGGCTGGATCCGAGCTCACAACCTGCACAGGTAACCAGACAGCTCTGAGGGTGCTGCTGCCAAAGTGCCCGGGGCCCTGGTGAGTGTTCACCCACTCTGTGGGTCCGGGGCCAGCAGTGCCTGAACAAGCCAGCTGGGACCCTGTTGAGGCAGGTCTGCCCAAACTCAGTCACACCTCCAGAGAGCAGCACAGACAGCCTGTCTGGGGTCAGCTCACAGGGCCCCTGAGGACACAAACACCATGTGAGAGCGAGCACAGTGTCCCCAGGTCAGACCTGTGTGGTCTCCAGAGGGGACTGGTCTTCCAGGAGGCAACACCTCAGACACCCCCCCAGGCCCCGCTGTGGCTCAGGGGGTTGTGAGTGAGGTGCCCACGCACCCTCAGAGCAGCCACACGCCGTCCCTGCCCCTGGGAGAGGTCAGCTTGGAAGTTTCCAATGGAAAGAAAACCTGTGCCCAAGTCCCTCGTCCAGAGAGTCTGTGAGATTTCTGCAGAGCTGCAAACCAGCCAAGCCAGTCCTGCTTATCAGTGCTCTCAGGGTCTTGAGAGGTGGGAGAGGGAATTTTTGAGAAGCAGTCTGGATGTGATATAAATGCTCTTAAAAAAATACCCCCCTCACCTTTTAAAAGCTGCCCAGAGCAAGGAGCCACGTTGCTCAGGGGGCATTTGCAGCTCTGCATCAACAGTTCACGGTGAGCAGAGGCTGCTCACACACGAGGCAAGGAAGGTGTCTGGGCTAACCTCAGCCTTCAGGCTTCAAATTTTCAGCACAACACAAATTCCTGCTCTGAACCATCCCCTTCAAGGCAGTACCCAACTCCACTCCTTCCTCCACTCCACTTATGATCTCCTGGTCTCTGCTTCTCTTTCTGCAGGGGAAGCCTCCCCCCTCTGGCTACCAAACACTTCTGTTTACCTCTTCCAGAAGGGCTTAAAACCTGATTTTCCAACCAGGTCTCCTTGCAGAGCAGCTCAGGAAGTCTCCATCCCTCCAGCATGTCCCCAGGACAACTGAATTGCACTGTCAACTCCTTAGCTGTAGTTACAACCCTTCTGTTGAACTGACAACAGGAACAAAAGCACGACCAGAGGGCAGGAAGAAGGGCTGGTGGTTGAGCTGCTGGCTCAACTGAGGACTGAGGAGATCTGAGCAGGATCTCCTGCTCTGCTGCAGACTTCTCGTGCAGCAGTTCTTCTCTGGTGCTCAGTTTTCCATCTGAGAGGGGGCAATTATTGCTGCCCCACCCGGCAGAGCGGTGACAGGGGGACATGTGTTACCTGGTGGCATGTTCTGTGCCAACACACTCAGTGGGTGCCTGTGACAGGCGTCAGCGGCTCCTCAACCCAAGGCAAATTTGCAAAATGCCAACAGTGCCGTCACCCCAAAGCTACTGCAAGGAAATGCAGCCCTGAGTGGCCCTCTGGTCACACTGCGAGGCTCTCGAGCTTCTCTCTGCACTTCCAAACTCCTGCAGTCATTCGAACCCCGCCAGAGCCCTCGCCTGCCGTCTGAAACCAGCAGATGTGCCCCCCTGAGCACACGGAGAAAGAGCGATTCGCCCAAGGTCAGCCAGCAGGCAGGAGCTGGGAGCGCAGCCGAGGGTCAGGGCTCCGCTCCCGTGACTGAGCAACGTGAGCGGAACGCCCGTGACCCGCTCGGGGCCGCGAGTGCCACCCGCGCTGTCCGCGCACGGCCCGGGACAGCGGCGGTCACACGGTCACCGCCGGGGCCACGTGCGATGGCCGAGGCGACCCCGCCGCGACAAAGCCATGCCCGGGGACGAGCGGGCGTGAGCGGGGTCTGCTCCCACTGCACCCCACGCGCGGGTCGGGGCGCCCACCCGGGGCGGGCTGGAAGCCCCCAGGGCCGGGGACGCCCAGGCTGGCTGTGCCACTCGCTTCATCGCCCAGGGAGAGCGAAGCCCACCCCGAGCCCGAGCCCGGCCGTGCCCCCCGGGAGCGCTGCAGGGCGGGACCCCCGCGCCCCCCGCGCCCCTTACCCGGCTCGGTCCACGCGGGTCCCGCGGCTCCCGGCGGGGGCGGCTCCCGGCCCGCCCCGCCCCGCAGAGGGCTCGGCTCCGGCCGCCGATCCCATTGGCACGGGAACACCCGCCCCGGGAGGGGCACCGGGGGCTCGGGGTGTCCCCCGCTCTGGCCCTGCCCGGGGCGGCTGGAGCTGCTCCCGGAGGAGATCCCGCAGTTTGCCGTGGGTTCCTCCCCCTGTTAATTTACACTGGAGACGCTCCAGGTTCCTCCAGCATTTCAGGAAAAAGAAGTCGAGTCCCAGCAGGCAGCGGCGGCGACAGTTCGCGCTGGCATCCAGCGGGATACAGGTGTTCGTTTCGGGAGGAACGGTTTGGGCAGGGCCGCAGGGTTTGGGTAAGGTGTGTGAGGTCTGTCCTTGTGTGGCTGCAGGTTTGTGAGTTCCTGAAGGAGTCCCCTAAGGATGGCCTTGGGCTGCCTCTGACAGGGTGGGCTGAGCACCTCTAAAATACCAAGAAGACTTGAGAGGAGATCCCATCGACAGTGGCTTTCCAGGCTCATGGGATCCCCCTAAAACACCCGGTGTAAGGCTTCAAATTTGAAAAAAAAACCCAAACAAATATAAACCAAAAAACACTACAGCAGTGAAGGTGCATGGAAAGGTCAATCCATGGCTGTTCCCCTGATCGCTGCTGTGCCTCAGGGTGTCCCTTACCCCGTGTCCCACCTTCACAGTCCTTAATGTTACTGCTGATAACACTTATTAAAGTATTAAATATTTAAGTATTAAATAATTGAGAATAATTATTAATAATTATTAATAATACTTATTTGAATATTAAATAAGGACTGGGAGGGACTGGGGTCCCTCCCCGGACCCCAAATCCCAGCCCTTCAGCCCATCCCGACCCCGCATCCCCGGGACGGCCTGTACTCATGGCCACGCCCTCAGCTCAGACCCCGCCCCTCAACACTCCGACCGCGCCCCCGGTCCATGGCCACGCCCATTTCTCCGCCTCATCAATGACTCTGCCTTGGGCCCGCCTCTTGTTCCATGACCACGCCCATATCCCCGCCCATATAACCACGACCACGCCTCTTATTGTGTCACTGGCCCCGCCCTTGTCTCCGCCCCAGTCATAAACCAGCCTGTGACCCCGCCCCTTTGTCTTTAGCCACGCCTCCTTCATTGATATTCCCGCCCCCTCATCTACGGTCACGCCCCCAATCCCTGACCACGCCCCCAATCCCGCCCCTCTCCGCCGCTCTGGTGGCGCCCCCCAGCGGCCGCTCCCGTCAGGCACATGAACACACCATCAACCCCTTTAAACGCCTTTTTTATTTCCTCCTTCTCATAGAAATTTATTATAATAGCCTTCCTCTCGCATCGTATACAAAATATTTACTCTACCGAATAAATAAAACGCGGACGATCTCGCGGACAGGGGATGATCTCGACAGGAAAACCAGCATCCATCCTTCCCTAACCTAGAGATTCACAACAGGCTCACGGTAACACTCTCCCTCCTCCCCGTGTCCACGATCAAACCCCCCCCCACCATGGCACGAAAGGAGAGGTGAGGCAGGATGAGCCTGTGAGAGGAACACAGCAGTGCACCCACAGCCTGGAAGAGGAAAGTGCCACATCTCCACCCCCGAGGAGTTTGTACCCAAACCTGTGGTCCCACAGCACGTTCCCCCTGTGTTCTCACAGGCAACACCAGTAACAGCAGGCAAGGGATGCTCTTACCTTCATTAGAACATCCCTGGTGGTCCACACGTGATCCCCACAGAGAAGCTGCTCCTGGCAGAAGCCAGAAGGGCCAATCTTACAAATAAAGGAGTTTCTGGAAGAAATGCCTCCTTGAACCAGGGAGAAAAGGCTTTTGGTACCAACAGCACACAATCAGGGCTGTTGTGGTGACAGCAACGTCCCCCCAGGGCTTTGGGAAGGCAGCTGGGAGAGTCCAGCCCAAACCTGAGCTCAGCCAGCTCTTGGACGTGGCTGGGGTTGTGCTGGCACAAATGACAAGGATTAAGGGTTGTGAAGGGTTTTATGGACAGTGTGAGGCCACAACGAGGGGTTCCCACCCACCATAGTGCAGCCCAGGTCCAGCCAGTGCCCCACACCAGTCTCTTCCATACCTGCAACATCCAATTTTCCCTGAACCCCCCTCTTGTTCCTCCTCCCTCACCCTGATCTCTTGTCTAAAACTCAGCTGTCTGCCCCTCTAACCCTCTGCTTTATCATTGGGTGTCTGTAATGAAGCATTTAAAGCCCTTATCACCAAACCCCTACACCTCAAGTTTGGTGTGCAAGCACTTTAGGCACTTAAACACAAATGGCTCAATTATCAAAAGCACTTGAGCATCCCAACAGCCTCCACGTGTGAAGGTTCCCCACGTCTTACCTAGGCAAAAAAATAAAAATCAAGGATTCTTCAGCACACCTGTTTGAAAAATCATTCATTCAAGAAACACCCCAGCTTTGGCAGCAACATTTTGCCCCAAAGCCTTTCCTGCTCCAGCCTGCAGTGGACAGAGCCCAGGGTAGGAAGTACAGCCCCAAAACTGTTTCCGTAAGTGGTTAAGCAACTGCCAAATCCATCCCCAAAACAGCTGCATTTCAGCACACAAAACCTTGTTGTGGGAAAGGGAGGCTGGCAGGCATATAATTTGAGAAGAAATAAAACAAAAACAGTGACCCCTGACGGGAAAGAAGCATTTAAAGAGCCGGGCAGCCCTCTGAGGGCCTGTCTCAGACAGCAGGGGAGTCACCCAGCCCCTGTGCCAAGGAACAGGCTGACAAGACTCCGCCAAAATAGCAACATTTTGCCCTTCAGCCAAGCCTCACAAGTGCATCTCGCTGCCCACACACCTCCACAGTAAATTACTCACAAACAGCTTGTCTGGCCCAGCCAAAGTCAAGGACTTTCTGTGTGCTCGCAGGACCAGCTCAGCCTCCCCTCTCGGCACTGTCACAGAGTTTGGATCATTCCAAAGCCCAAGTGCTGACTGGGGGCCAGGACCTCACCTCCTGCTTGGTGTGTGGGTAGCCTTTGAGTGGTAGAAATCTGCCATCAGCAGAATTATTCCAGCTGCTCCACTCGGATGGGGAAGGGGACTGGCCAGAAGGACTCACAGCTGCAGCCACTCCGCTGCCAGTGGGAGATTACTCAGAGCCGGGAGCCAAACAGCCTGGAAAACACCCAGGAGGGTTTGGTCCCAGCACAAGGTGCTTTGTCTTACTCTAACAGGTAACTGGGTTTTTGCTCTGCCTCAGAAGAATCTGGAGTCCTGTCTGGAAATAAAATGATTTTTGGGAAAGCCCAAACAGCCACAGGCAGTGACAGCTCCATCTCCCCACTGCAGCAGACACCACTCCTGAGTTCAGCTCCTCATTCCTTCAGCACCCCCAGGCCTGGTACACCTGTTCCCAGGTAGCCTTGCAGGAGAGCTCTCCCTGTTCTACTTCACTGTCACAGGACCGAAAACCCTCTGAGAGTATTTCCCTTGTGTACAGCACTATCTTTTAGAGGCCAGGTGTGGAAGAGTCACAGCAGGCTTGAACTGTTAGAGGAGAAAGCAGGAGGCAGGTCCAGGCACTGAGGTGAGGAGTGAGAGGTCAGAGTTGCTGAGAACTGTGTGAAGAAAGCTAAAAGCAATCATTAAAAAAAAAAAAAAAGAGAGAGCTCAGAAGTCCTTTCTATCTGATGCAACCTGGTACGTAGGTAAAAGGTAAGTCACCTTTTGGAACTGGTCCTAGTGGAACGTTACTTGTTTTTCTGAAACAAGACGTAGTAACTTTTCTCCTGGACGGTTTCTCCCAGCCAGAGCTGAGGTGGGGATGAACAAAAGTGTTTGTGCACCCAAGTGCACCCCCTTGGCTCCCTGGCCAAACCTTCACCACCCATCTGGTTTTCCGCCCCCTTCCCCCCCTCCCCAAGGAAATCTCCTCCCACTGTCCCATTTGCAGGAGTATTGCTCAAGAAGTTGGGTAAAACCACAACAAGCAGGGGGAGAAGGATACAGCTGTGAGGGGAGAACAGGAGGGGCAATGATTTACCCCCTCCTCGTACCCAACTGCTGCTCCTGCTCACAGACACGACCCGTTATGAGAGGCAAAGTCTCCTTCCTCTCCCCGGCACAACCCCTTTGGCGCTGCCTGTGCCGCGCTCCCTCCTTCTGATAAAGGCACCTCTGGAAAGCGCTGCTGACCCAAAGCACAGCTCCCTGATGGCTCATATTTACACCTGAGATTAGCCCTGTCCTGCCCCCAGAACGTTTCCCCCCCAGGGTCGCGGGGACAGCGCGGGGACAGCGGGTGCCACGCGAGGCTTCCCGCGAGCGGCCGTGCGGGCACCACGTGCCTCCTCTCACACCACGTGCAGGGCCCCCACCACCACCACCACGTCACACAGAGTACTTGGCCATGTCGCTCTTGTCGAAGACAACTTTGGTTGCGAAGTAAATGGCGACCAGGCCGAAGCCGGCGGCCGACACCATGTAGGCCGTGACCGACTGTGTGAACTGCACGATGGAGCCCATGAAGAGGGAGGGCACGACCTGAGAGAGCAGGAAGGCGCTGTCCAGGATGGCCAGGTCCAGGCAGATCCCCCTGCCAGGGGCCG